GTTCTGATTTAACGTTCATATTATATTAACTGGAACGTAATAATCAAATATATAAAGTAAACTTCGTTGGCTGTAATCCACAATTTTGTTCTATACTTTTTTTCCTATATCCATATTCTTTTTAATTTTAGTTAGTTAGAAAGAGGAGCTTGGACAGTGGAGGCGAGCGTTTAACGCACGTTAGACAGGGACCCTTTAAACCTACACCTGGGTCGCAAATCCCAGGCACTGTTGAAGCTCCTCTCCCTGCAACACGAGGACCCGGTACCCGCACGGTGAATCTAGGTTTCGTCTCTACCCACCTATCTTACTATGACAATCAGCGCCATTTCAGCTGTGTTTAAAAAAAAACAAATAAATGGAAGAACAACAAGCTGTCTTATCCTAGATCAACCAGGAAATCCTCTCATGAATGATAATTAAGAAGTATTCTTTATTAAGAAGTATTCAAATGTAATGTAATATCGTAGTTCCCAAAAATACAGAAGATATTATTAAATTTTAACTCAGTATCAGTTAAAATTCAGAAACTTAAACTTGAAGTTCATCTTTTATAATAGAGTATCTAAGTTCAAAAAATCTTATAAATGAGGCATAGAATTAAATTTAGACGAAACCTCTTAGCATTCAATGTCTTCACCGTGCCATCGCATGTCCGTGCATCGGTGCATCGGTGTCCATCGCGTTGTAGTGAGAGGAGCTTCAACAGTGACTGGGACTTGCGACCCAAGTGTAGGTTTAAGGGACCCCTAACTAAAGCGCCTTAAACGCTCACCTCCACTATCCAAGCTCCTCTCTCTACCTAATCCAATTTTGTAGAGAACCTATTAGGGCTACCTTCGGAGTACGTTCGAAGAATAAATTAATGTGAGTTCTGGACAAGCCCAAGTCTTTTACAAATTTAACTTACCATGAACCGAATGGAGTAAAAATTGTATGAACTATATTTTATATGAACTGACTGTTTTAAAAGGTAAATATAGTCTACCTAGATAACTAATTAGAGTTAAATTCCCACAATTAAGGTGTATTAAAATAAAAGAAGTTTGTATTAAACTGCGGTTAATGAATGTGCTACTCATCTTCAAATAGCCCTCACTAGACTATGAACGAACATACAAGTCCGTGTGAGCGTGTGTGTGTGTGTGTAATCCTTCATCCAGACATATTTATATACGTGTGAGTGACTCGATTAGATTCTGATCTTTGTGTGATCACTGACTATTATGTATACGTTATGTATATATTTATATACACCTGTGTGTGTTATTTTGACTGTGTGCTGGTAAAGGATTTGTGTGTAGTTTGTTTAGATTATACACTTGTTGGAAAGTTCAACTAATGACGTACAATATTATTTATTTGATGCAAACGTTTGTTAGCAGATAATGTTTACTCATTGAAACCCTGATTCAGGGCATTAATTGAAACAGTATTGTCCAAGAACAACAAATAAAATTGTATTATACTCATGTTTATCATGATTTAAGCTATTAGAAAACATTATACAACTTAAATTGGACTAAAGTTTGCTCACCACAACTAGGCTGTACGAACTAAAAATAATATGGACTGTCTCGATCAGGGTAGTGACGCGCACTACAAGAAAATCGGGGTATAATAGTATGTTGTACAGTGTTTCTCTTAATCCTAATCTTATCTTTCGCTGAATTTTATAGTTTGAAAAGCTTTCTATACGATATCAGCCTAGGTCGGTTTCAAAACTCGAAAAAAACAATGTTTTACAGACCACCTGTCATTACCGAAGAAACTATAATCTAGTCTTGATTTAAGAAGCTGGCCTGTCCCCAACGCACGCAGCATGTCGGTTGTTTTCTATGCCGGAGTCCCAGACTGGTTTGGAACCCAGCTTGCAAACGCGGGTTAGATCGAAGGCTTCTCAATTCCCTATTAAGGAGACACACTTAATTCAGACTACCAACATATTCACTTGAAAGGTATCTAGTGTAGCACTATGAGTCCGCAGATCATGATGGATTACATAGAGTGTCACGCATTTTATCTCTCGAGCCGACTCTACTTTTGTTTGGAAGATCCTTCGATCTGCGCAGATGCTCTGGCGGATATTGTTCTATAGAGAACGGAAGGTTTCTGTCCCACTCTTGACTGGTTGTAAGTCGCAGCCCTGATTTGATAAGTCCTGGTCAGTATTCGCGGCACAATTTATTATGGATCCGGAAACATCTAACCTTAAGCAAAGGTACAACGCCGCTTCCCGGTCTTTAAAAAGCAAATAGGTGAACCAAAAAACGTATATAAAAATAAAATACCTATATAAAATTGGACAGATGCGACTAAACTTTCCACCCGGTGCTCTTTCCTATTGGCCTATGGCCAAAGCGCCTGAAGAGTTCTTTTGTTACCCTTTTCTTCATTTTTACAATCAATCTAGCAAATCGAATGCCTAATCTATTAAGCTACAGTCCAAAAGTTCACAATGAATTATTTCAATGGGTTATATTCGTTTAACTAGGTGCGTAAGTCGTGCTTTTATATTATTTTTTTTGAGGGGTAAAATCATCAAACAACCCTTCTAATCCTGGGTGAAGAGAATCGTTCTCTCACGCACTCATAATTTTATGTAGACCGATACCCGAGGTACTGCAATGCCAGGCCGACCTGTGACGGGAGTGGAGTGAGTCCCAAACATCAAGTCATTTTACAAAAATCAGTCTTCTAAACTAGTCCTGACATGCGGGAACTTCCAGAAATTAAGATAAAAAGAACAAATATTTCACTTTGATCGTAGCCATAAGGCCGATCAGATCGTGCTTCCTTGCTTTTTTTAAGGTCAAAAGGATTTAATTCCCGCTTCTGTTTGAGACCTGTATTGCTGATCATTTAAAGTACCGGAAGGATGATGTAGTTTGGTCGCCAGCTCCGTTTTGGGTAAAGTATATAGGCCATGTAGTATATATCAAACACATGTTGCAAATACGTATACGGATTACGGACTGAAACAATAGTATAGAGAAAGGAACTGTGAAACGCCACATTGTTTTGCATTGACTACACAAGTACAATTTTTTTTTCAAAAGTACGAATTTAGTAGGTGTTACGTAATACGGTGTTGTTAATACGTTGATATAGAATATTCGTCATCATCATCAGCCTATCAGAGCCCACTGCTGAGCAAAGGCCTCTTTCTCACATGGAAAAGATTTGAGCATTAACCCCCACACTTGTTCAAGTCGGGTTGGTGATTTTAAACTTATAATTGTGAAATTATAGATCCATGTTTCCTCACGATGCTTTCCTTCGCCGTCTGTCATTGGTGTCTAAATACTCTTAGTACATAGGACTGTGAAAAATTATAATGGTACTTGCCAGGATCGAACCTGCGCCATCGTGCACGAGAGGCGGGTCTTTAACCACTAGACCACCACTGACTATATATACAATATGAAAAATATACATATATTGAAGCCCATATCTTTTATTTACGTCATCAATTAATTATTATGGGTTGTTAAAATTACTCTAAGTGGTAACCTTAAATTGCCTGAGATTCTAACGATAATCAAGAACTAAAACCTCATGTGTCAAAATATATAACTCATTTTGTCACAGAAAATTTTCCTCATACAAATATAATATTATAGAGACATAAAGTGAAATCTTTGATAATAATAACACGTTTAATTCAAAATATATTTAATGTCATATCACAATACACTTTGATCCCTCCGACACACATACAAGAACACACGTCTTAAGGTGGCACTTCACTTGGCGTTGAATATTCGCCGCATTTGTCCAAATATTTGTACGTAGTCCAAATAACGCAAACATGACATCCACACTTGGCGTCCCAACACGTCTTTACGCGTTTTCGCTTATTAGAGTATGTGTCTTATTTGAGCAAATATGTCAAATGAAGACGAATAAAACCTCCACACATGTTCTTATTTGGCCGAAACCAACAAATAAACGCCAAGTGAAGTGCCTTTAAATAAATCACACTTCATAAGATTTGATTACTTTTATATTTCATATTTGGTGTCATTTACAATACACTTCAACACGGGAGAGTATTCAATCAATACAATCAAAAATATTCAGTCATACACAAGATACAAATATATATGTAAAAAAGATATTTTTTTTAGTTTTTTTTACAATTTATATTTATACATCGTTTCTACCACCATGAGAATAAAAGCCATTTTCTAATAGCACGTCATAAAAGCTTTGTTATCAGTAATTATACTTAGTCAACAACTATAATTATCAAAATATGTATAAAAATGTCAGTATACTAGAAAAATCATATATTTAATATATCTATCTAACATTGTCATAAGAAAACGGTTATTGTGACGAATTACTTACAGATGTCTAAATATTAAAATATTCTAAGAACTTAGTTTAAATAAAATTAATACTTCTTTAAATCACCGTACAGTTATTAGTACTGCGAGTTAGCATCTATGAAATATAGAAAAATTATAAAAAAATATTTAAATGTCAAGTTAAGAATCGAAAAAATATATAAAAAAATAATCTCAAAAGACCAAATGGTTTAAACAAAATTTAAGTAAAACATAAAAGTGAAAATATACAAAAATAATTAAAAATATTTAAAAAGTAATTAATAATTATGTATGTCATATGCATTTACTAATTCATAGGAATAACAAAATTCTTTTCCAAGCTAATTTATCATGTTTGTAGAATTTGGAAATGGTCATTATGAATTTAAGTATGTAGAATTATAAAAAGTATATCAAAGTATATATTATACATATATTGAATATAAAAAATGCTTAATAAATATAATAGTTGGAAGTTGCATAAGACTCTTTTTCTAAAACATGGAATAATTTTGAAGTTATTAATTTATTAAAGGAATACTCTACTTCCGAATTTTCTAATAAATTCAATTACATAAAACATTCAGTTTTAATATAAATATCACTTATATATTTAATTAATAATTATCATAGTGATATGTCATTTTCATGAAGGCCTTAGTTATATTATAAGGATGTGGATGTCACAGATTTCAGTCCTCGAACGAGTATCGTGGGTGAGAGGTCCTTGGTCAGCTCGTCTAAAGTCTGAAAGTTACATCAAAAACGGTTTAGTCACTATTTAGATAGATGTTTAATCACTTCTATTAGTATACTGAACCTTGAAAAAAGATATTTTTTGTAAACACTACACTTATTTGAATCTTTCATACATATATACCCTAATTTTTATATTTAATACAAAGATATATTGTTACAAGTGGCGCCATCTTTGCTGTACTAATTATAATACACTATGATCCTTAAAATTATTTTATGCCTGATTATAATCAATTATAATACTAGACCATTGTAATTTTGTAATGGCAACACTAAGTATCAAACTGTATTTTAAAACTATAAAATATAAATACTGTCATCAGACATTTTGTAAGATATAACTTGAAGTAACGCTGAATAATTAAAATTAAATCAAATCTGAAACTGTACATGAACAATATATTAATAATTCTTCTGTAAATATGGATTGTTGATTTAGAAGAGATTTATTTTAATATTTGCAATAATAATAATGTTTAAATCTTTGATTTACCTTCAAGTAGTCATTACATATGTCGTCGTCTCTGTTGACGCTGGGCGGCGGTGGAGGGAGCTGTATGAATGTCACCACCGCCTCGGAGCTGCGAGCCTTTATTATAGAGTTCACTCTGAAAATAATTTAAGGATAATATGTAACATATATTTTTATATAAATATATACAGGGTGACTGGTGAATTACTATCAATATTTAAGGACGTGGTAGTTGACGATCATATATGACAAAATAAAAATTAATATAACATAAATATTAATAAACTTCTAAGTAAAGTTAACCAAAAGTTATGTAATTAATTACGGATCGCGTGGATACCCTAGCTGCGATATCGACACAAAACAGTTATGTACGTAGGTATATGTAGTTATCGCGCGGTCGTTTACCTACATCCAAACGCCGCGCGCCGCCGCGTGTTAGACCTTAGATAAACAAAAATGATCCAATTCCCTTCATACTTTAATCCTGGCTTAGGACAGGCAAAAATACCAAGATATTTCTTTCGTTTAAGCAACCAATTTATTGACTAGGTAAATGGTGTGACCTTGACACGAAAAATAATATGAACTGTTTACCTATCTTGGTATTTCCGGCGTATTTAAAAATGGAATCATTCTTATTTACAACAATTGTCAATCATTAAACTACCTATTTACCTACATAACTACACTAACCTTAACAAATGTTCAAAGCGAGCTCCTTCTCGTGTGATACACAGTTCGGCACGTTTACACATATTGTCTTTCACACGATTTAATACGAATGGGTCACTTTTAATAGTTTCGAAAGCACTATTGATTTTTAATTTCAACTCCTCTCTGTTGACATACATTGTAGCATACACAAGACGTTTCCTTGGGCATGTGTTGGAACACGGAACTGTCCGAAGTCTCGTAATCTTTGATTAGAGTTTAAGATGACGCTGGCCGTAGGTACTCGACGATTGGGGAACATCTCCCGGTACAAATTGATTGCGCCCGGCAAGCTATCATTTGCACGCGCATACGCATGAACCATGTCCAAGTATTCTGCATTTGTGTATTGAAAAGCCATATTTAATTACTAATAAGTAATAACGGGTCACACGCACACACGACAGATTATTATTAGGTATACGCGTAGACCTTACGGCGGCGCTCGCGCGACTAATAGCCGACTAATGGCCCGCTAGCCACGGGGCGGGGGTTGGGGAGTAGCGACACACTGGCGCCGGCAAGGCTGAGTACGTGTCCAAACTTTATTTATTTATACGGAAATTTGGTCAAAAATTAAGTACCTATTTTTTTTACATAATTCGAATGAGAATCATGTACCGAGTATGCTCCTTAAATATTGATAGTAATTCACCAGTCACCCTGTATATTTAAATGGTAGTCTTTGGAGACCGATCGAAACTAGGTAGGTACATGTGAGTCATTTTGTTATTGTTTTTAAAATAAGTTTGTAATTTGCTTATCATTGATTTGTTGGTTGTAAAAAGTAAGTGATCTTTACTTGATTTTTCTTTGTTAAAATTTAACTTCTGACTAATTTTGCCATATTACAAAGTTACATTGTAGTACTATTTGTGCCAGTTACAAGACAGAGAAAGAAAATATATATTTTCAGTATAATATATATGCATTTCTATACAAGCTTTTAATTTTAATCTTATGTTCAGATTCTCTTATATTGTATTAATTTCTTATATTATTAATAGTCTTACTTCTGTAAATAGTTCATGGGCACTCTCTGGTAGACTTGATCGTCATCTAGATCGGCCCAGCGGTGTGACCCCTCTAAGGAAGGCCATTCAGGAACCTGAAATATTTATTCATACTCTTGACTAAAATAGTGCCACAAAAATATTAAGTTGCAAAAAAAACAAATGTTAGTAATTTATAATGTAAAAGACAAAGGAACTGTAAAGTAAAAAATTGGTAAACTTAACTTCTTTGTAAGATTGAACAGCACGCCACTATCGTAAAGGCAGTAAATGAAATTTGGAAAGTTATTGTATAATATTTTTTGTTTGGATTTAACTCAAATAAATACATATTAATAGGATTTAAAAAAATAATCTGAATAAGGAAATCAAATTATAATTTTATTACTATATTTCTCCATAAATTATCTAAATATATGTATATTTATAAACTTTCCTTATTATCACAATACTCACACACCTCTAAAGATGACCAGCACAATATCAAAAACTTTATTATATTGTTTACCTTATACTAAAGCTTGAAGTTAGATCTATACATATATATAATGTTGCAAAACTTTAAATTATTGAATAGGGAAATCTCTTTACTGGTCCCATGGATATATAATTTCATATAAATTTAAACTCACTGGATGTATGGTGGCGTTAATTCTGAGCATCTTGAGGAGTTGTTCCAGACGCTCGGTCACTGGTCGGCCGGGAGACAGCTGGTCGGGAGACGAGGATAGGGGTCCTGTTATGATATACATACATGGATATAATATTTAGATATATAGATGACTCTATGTAATAAAGACCAGAAGATTAAGGTTTAAGGCTTTCAATAGTTAAAATTTCATTATATACTAGAAGAACCGGCGAACTTCGTATCGCGCTATAATCAAGAAATATCTGTTACTGAAATATTCCCAGATCCCCTTGAACACACACAAAAAAATTCATCAAAATCGGTCCAGTCGTTTGAGAGAAGTTCAGTGACATACACACTCACAGAAGAATTATATATATATAAATGTACATATTTAGATGCAGGTTGAAGACAAAGAAAATATAGGACAGCTTCTACAAGAAGAATTCAACTATTAACTGTGAAAACCTGATAGACGCTACTTTTTAGGTCTTTATAACCGTATTAGATAAAAAAGTTACTGAGTTCTTTATTATTGGTCTTACCAGTAGTCGAGACCCCTGTAATAATATGTACTCTAAGGCCGAGCCGGGTCCAGCCCCTGGCTGAGCGGACGACGGCCGCTAGCTGCAGCGCGAACAGAGCTCGGACTGAGAAGGGCTCCTCACGAGACGGACGGAGAGGCTCAACCAGCCACACGTCGATGGAACGAGATGATGACGAACGTCTAGACATACAGACAGACATACATACATACAGATTTTTTTATTTGAAAGGTAGCAAACGAGCAGACGGCTTACTTGATGGGCAGTAGTTACCGTCGCCCATGCACATACGAAACATAAATGTTACGGATGCGTTGCCAACCTCGATTGTAGAGGAAAATGGAGGAGTGGGAATAAGGGAATGTCTGGAAAAGGAGGAAATGAAGTCAGGGCAACCGACTCTCTCACTCATCGTACGAAATGCAGCCATTAAAGGCTACTTCACGCCAATCTTCTGTGAGAGGGTGGTACTTCCCCGGTCGAGCCAGCACATGTTTGAGCTGTAGTAACTTGACCACAACTAGGCGCTACCACCTCTAAGATATATAATTCTGAAGACTCTTTAACTACGGTATATTGGTAAGGAAATAGATTATGAATAAAATAGTTTTCTATGTAAATGAATATTGACAACAATAAGTCAGCATATATTTTAAGAAATGAAAGAGTATCTTAAAGGAATAATTACTATGTAATTAGTTCAATCGATATATAATGTTGATGAGTTACATCAACTATATTATGGTATACGTCGTGGTGGCCTAGTGGTTAAGGTGCCACTTTCATGCATGATCGCACGGGTTCGAAACCTGGCAAGTACCAATCTGATTATTCTTAGACATATGTTCTTTCTAACAGTATTTAGACACCAATGACAGAGGATGAAACAAAACATCACGATGAAACCTGGACTTATAATTTCAAATTATAAGTTTGAAATCACCAACCCGTCTTGAGCGTGTGGTGATTAATGCTCAAAACTTCTCCATGTGTGAAAAGGCCTTTGCTCAGCTGTGGGCTCTGATAGGCTGATGATATTTAGTTATGTCTACTCACTTGGCGATCGCCTCCATATCTAATTTGTGGAAGTGTCGACACAGACAGACATTCTTCCCCACACAGAGCACATCGGATACAATCCTAACGTACTCAGTGACAGAAATCTTGGAGGCTCGAGCTGGGAACACAACCTCACCGCCTTCTAAGTCGAACATAGACGTCTTATAAGGTGAAGAGGGACTGGAAACAATGAAACATATTATAATATCCTACTAATATAATAATTGCGAAAGTTTGTGAGTGTGTGTGTATGTTTGTTACTTCTTCACGCTCAAACAGCTGAACCGATTTCGATAAAATTTTGTATACAGGAAGCTGACGTCCAGGAATAACACATACGCTACTTTATAACCCGGATATCCGCGGATAACACCGCGGGGCGCAGCTAGTATAATATAGTTCTTGGCCTTAAAAAAGGTTGAGCTGAGAGTTAAATTAGATAATATAGCATGAAAGACTTATATATGAATAGGATTTAAACCTGATACTTCTGGAATGTAGTAATGTTGCATTACTATTTAAGCTATAGCTATATTGATAAACAAACTGTAAGCAAGATATAGCTCATGCTCAATTCAGCTCAGATGTAGCTATATATATTATCCATAATGCATAATATGTTCATATAATAGTTGTTATTTTGACTATTAGTCTATATAAAATATTGTTATAGGATAAACATATGATTTTCCCCTTTGAAAAAAGACTTATACATATAAAATAAAAAAAAATATTTAATACCTAAGCATATCGTCTCCAAAATATATATATAAACATTATATACATACTCCCTGAAGAAGTCCCTATGCGGCGCCTGGTCCCTAAATCCCAATAATACAGTATCAGGCTTCATAGCGCCGAGCCCGGAGAGACGTGACAACTGAGCAGCCCCTCCTCTCACTGATTCACACAGACAGAGTTCAACGAAAGCCTTCACCTGGAAATGATCATAATAATAAATAGATATGACCTGGAAATGATCATGATGATTAAAGCACAAAAATAACTATATTTAAAACTTATTCGTGTACTTTTATTCTCACTCACAGACTGTTTACACACTTAAAGTTTTTTTAAACTTTTTAGTTTTTATTGATTTCACCAAGTTTTACTATTTTTAACTTAGTAAATTATTCAGACACACATTTCGTCTGCCCGTGATCACGTCACGTCACGTAGAGATGATCTTCAGATAGATATTTACAGTTAATACTAAGAATAAGAGTATATATTACAGTGTTTGTCAATGTTTAAGTCACATATATTGTTTCAAATTCATGTATTTATTTCGTTACTATTTAATATATAATGTATGTTATATACTATAGAACATATAACAAAAATATATCAGATAAGATAGCTATACATAGAAGATAAATTATTAAATATTATGGGGACTGTAGTGTATGTATCTATACAATAGATATAATACACTGTCTCACGTACCACACTAGGGGGGGCGGTGACGTGCGCATGCGCACAGTGAACCAGTGACTAGTTATACTTACATAGAGGATCAGGGGTCCTACATGGACTTTAATCAGTACTAATGAAACCAAAACAGTAATAACTAATATGTTAAGTTAATCCTAGTATTGGCTTATTTAATAAAGATGTGATTTAACTAATATATTCAAACTTCACTTAACATATAAATGAAAAAACAAACAAAAGATACATATAAAAGTCCAGTCCTTAATAGTATTCCATTCACAAAGTCATATGAAAATATGTATACTTATAGATATATTTGGTTGTTAATCAAAGTGTCATGTTTTCTTACCTTGAGATGATCTATCAACTGCAGCCAGTACTTGTGTTCATCAGACAGAGGGTCTCCACTGCCGTCTAACTCACCGACACGAACGTGACCCAACACAAACAGACCGCCCTGAAAATTGATAAATATATATAATATAATATAAGTGTATACAACTATACATGTAACATCTTATAAAATTTTATATTAATTAAGACTGAGATCTAAAATTGTATGTAATATTGGCATCTTATTAAATAAGTACGTAAATAAAACCACAAACTACTAACATGTAAAATCTTTATACACGACAAACTATCCATTATTCTAATATTCTAATATGAATATTATCAAATGTATCTCTGGTAACCATTATCTATTATCTAATGACCTGACCAGACTTTCATTCAAGCAAACAAACTGTTTTTCATATATTATGTATATTGTAGGAATATTTATGAACAAAAACCGTTTAGTCGCAAGATCGACAGACTTGTGGTAAATCTTAAGGCGGAGGTTCATTATTAGACACTATATAGTATATAGTGTTACAATATAATATTAATAAGCCTAATTATTATTACAACTGTATCTATAGTATTATACCTTCTTCTGATCGTTAACGAAGTCTATGAGTGGGGCGCAGTGTCTGGGAGAGGCGACTAGCAGCAACATCTGCGGCCTCCAGAACTTGACGTGCTGCCGACGAGGATCTAGCAGCAGGAGATACTTACGGACCTGGAACAGTAATAATAATAATAAAATTTACATAATAGCCTTAAACTTATTGGGCTGAAACCCACTTCTTATATACAATACCAAAAAGCCGCTATACTGAACATATGTAGAATAGTTAGGAAATTTTTAGAATTAGATGAAACCTTTCCACAAACTTAAATCAATCCAAAAGTGACCTGTACTTGACGCCAGTCCGTAAAGGTTACTTATATTCTACCCGTGTAAGCCGAGAAGACAAATATATATAAAAAAAATATAATAATAATAATAAAGTATGTATTGGTCACAAGTCAGTGGTGGCCTAGTGGTTAAAGGGGCGTTGCCGAGGGCGCGGGTTCAAACCTGGCAAGTACCAATGTGATTTTTCGGAATCATATGTACATTCTGAGATTATTTAGACACCACTGACATACGGTGAAGGAAAACATCGTGAGGAAACCTGGACTTATAGTTTCACAATTATAAGTTTGAAATCACCGACCCGTCTTGAGCAAGCGTGGTGATTAATGCTCAAACCTTCTCCATATGAGAAGAGGCTATGCTCAGCAGTGGGCGTTCATAAGCTGATGACACATGTATTGGTCATAGTCGCACCACAACACAATAACAATAGTAGGGTGTATTAACAGAAGTGATCGGTACATTCCAAACAACTTAGATTTTAGAACATATACTAAAAATCAGTAATTTATTTCAAATCTCCTTACAAAATGTAACGGGTTTTGCAATCTGGGGCCTTCTTGAGGTTTTAATACAACATTACCGTGTTAAAATTTAATTATAAGAATTTTATATAAACAGATATAGGTAACATCAATTTAGAAATACAAATAGATAATTAAAAGAAAAAATTGTGTCTTAATGAATTTAAAAACAACAACTGTTAAATAGTTTAAATATATTCAAATTATTTATGACCATCTCTTGGTTTCTGGTAGCAAAATGTTTCCCTCAATCGACTGTCCTGGGATTTCCAATTATAAAAAAAAACTTCTCATAATTCAATGTATTCACCGTGCGTGTGTCGGGTCCATCGTTGTAGAGAGAGGAGCTTCAACAGTGACTGAGACTTGTGACCCAGGTGTAGGTTTAAGGGTCCCTATCTAACGCGCGTTAAACGCTCACCTTCGCCGTCCAAGGTTTCTCTTTCTACCTAACCAACTTAGAAACGACCCTATTCAGGCCATCTTCAACACATATTCCAAGAATTAATTGTTAGTTCTAGACAGGCCTAAGTTTTTTAGTAGATTGTAATGAAAATTGGCTGTTATAACTCTCGCTTCCATTTCTACCACTAACGTTTTAATCCGAACCTAATGTAGTAGTTCATGTATACAACATCAGTCTTTACCTGGTGGAATATGAGCGCCTGGCTAAGACTGCCCCAGCCAGGGTCTGCCGCTGCCGGGGACAGGAAGTGCAGCGCCAGCACGAGGCCGCAGCACGCCAGCGCCGCGCCAGCCGCATAACCCGCCCTCGTGAAGAACATCACGCCCGCACATCCTACAAGCCCGGCGAGACTGCTCGCCCATGAGAACTGCTTGAATGTTGGCCTGGAACATGACAGGGTATCGTATATCTTTAAATGAGCAATGCTTGTATATATATGTATATACAGGGTGACTGGTGAATTACTATCAATATTTAAGGAGCATACTCGATACATGATTCTCATTCGAATTATGTAAAAAAAATAGGTACTTAATTTTTGACCAAATTTGCTCGTGCGTGCTGATACAACAACGCGCCGCCGCGCGCGAGTGTGTGTGTGTGTGTATACCTAATCTGTAGGGTGTTCATACGATGCGTAATTAATTACATAACTTTTGGCTAACTTTACTTAGAAGTTTATTAATATTTATGTTATATTAATTTTTATTTTGTCATATATGATCGTCAAATATCACGTATTCAAATATCGATAGTAATTCACCAGTCACCCTGTATAATTAGAATCTCGGAATCGGCTACAACGATTTTCATGAATTTAATACATAGAGGGTTTCGGGGGCGATAATAATAATCGATCCAGCTAGGAATCATTTTTAGAAAATGTAATTTTATGAAGACAAAAATAACAAAAATCTATTGGGGAATACTATTTTTGGTTAATTGCTTTTACTAATTGCTTTAACTACACAACAGCAGATGGCGTTGTCAAGTAACAGAAAATCATGAGTGTTTGTTTTGAGGTTAGACTAAGGAATTAATTGTTGATTTATATAGTTTTGTGTCTTCTTAACGTGTTCAGTTGAAAATGCCTAAACGAAATAAAAACAAAACATAAAAATAAATACTAATAATCCCTAAATATCAAGCAAAGATATTTAGAATTAACATACGAATCATCATATTATTTAAATTTTTCCAATTATAGTCTTGAAGGTAATGAGATAAAATAGAATTTTTGATATATAACGACACCAGTAGGAACACAAACCGCGACTTGCGGAATATCGCTTTTCCGTTGCTCTGCCAAATAGTCAGAAAAGTTCCGTTTAATATATTTTATATTCTTTTTAAGATATTTCTATATCTATTATCATAGGTTTTTTTTTTATTAATAACATTATAGTTACATAACATAAGCTAAAAGAGGAATTGAATAACAATTGACACTATTTTTAAAAGTGTTTTGTGTGATTTTTCTGTACAAGCAATAGGTTTGATATACTATAGTTATGCAAACAAATCCGCTTGAACTTGAATAATAAAAATTCATGTAACCTGAAATTAGGTGCAGACGCCAGGTCCAAGCCCAGACACGCCAGATTGATAGCGAAGTAGCTCGTCATAAACAACACGGAATTGACCTGGAAATTAAAACACAAGCTGTATGAGATATAAACTTTAACAAGTACATTGAAATAAAACTAATAAGTTCAGATTACTATGTATATATAATTGCTTTAAGAACATACCTCCTGAATTTTTGGTTACTTTTACACCAATTACGTTTAGTACATATAAATTATTAGTTTTATTACAGGCCATATATCAAAATTATACTATATTTCTAAGTAGACTTGTAGATATATATTTATATATACCTGAGCGATAGCATTCAGTGAATCAGCCATGATAGCAAACTGTACTAACAGCCAGGAGGCGATGACCGCTAGCACCGGGTTACCTGAACGAGAGACCATGGGACGGAGGAGGAAACCTGGAAAAGCATGGGTATTATATACTACATATGTATAGTAATAATTAACAAGTACATTAAGTATGTATCAACTTATGATATACTAGCTGCGCCCCGCGGATTACCAGATCGAACATTTTCCAGGATGTTAAGTAGCTTATGTGTTATTCCTGGACGTCAGCTTCCTATATACAAAATTTCATCAAAATCGGTTCAGCCGTTTGAGCGTAAAGAAGTAACAAACATACACACACACTCACAAACTTTCGCAATTATAATATTAGTAGGATAATATTTGTATACAAGAATTTAAATGAAAGTGTTTTTTGGATTAACTAAATTTAAATAATTTTTATGTAGCTTCCTTGTGATCTCAGTCGATAGAAACTAATCGAAACGTCGCGTCGTATAGAATGAAGAATAATAGAATACGTTAAGTCTGATTATATATTACAAGTATTACAAGCTCACTAATCAGCTCACCAAGAGTAGGTTAGTTGTAAATTAATAAAGAGGTATAACAGTTAATTCATTATTGTAACATACTTTAAAGCGGCCCTAGTAGGTTTTTTCCAATTTGGTTAGATAGAGAAAGGAGCTTGGGCAGTGGAGGTGAGCGTTTAGCGCGTTAGATAGGGACCCCTTAAACCTACACCTGGGTCACAAGTCCCACTGTTGAAGCTCCTCTCTACAACGATGAACCCGGCACACGCACCGTGAACTAAGAAGTTTCGTCTCATATATTTTATTCCTGTAACTCACCGAATATATCATCTTTGGCCAACGCTTCCAATACTCTGGACGCTCCAATAAGGTTTGACAACCCAGCTGAGAAGGTAGCTGTGAGCATCCCCACTGCTATGAAAGGCGGCCAGATATTGATAGGCAGTAGATACACGTAGTTATTCTGCAGCAGTTCCCGCGAACATGTAGCAGCAGTTAACAATGATAGGGAGAGGTATGTTAAAGCTGTGAGAAGAAGAGCTCCTAGTGTACCTCGGGGAATATTCAGAGATGGATTCTTTAATTCACCTGGAAAACAACGATTAAGGTTAGTTATACACATGTTCACAAAAAGATTTAGACTTACTGTAGATAATTGTAATTCATAATATTATAAAGAGAAAAGAAAGTAAAACTGTAAGAAATTGAAACTGTAGTTGTTCATAGTTTGATGTCAGTGTTGCCAAATTAGTCTAGATTTTTCTCATATATCAATTCTATAAAGTCTAGTTAAAGTGAAAATCTTCATAATCTCTGTGGCCATAGTCTTGATGAAATTTTAAAAACTGTACAAATATAATCTGTATACGCTGTTGATTACAAATAAATAAATGACAATAGTCAACTGATATGATTTTTAAAAATGTACTGATTCAAAATATTACTTTAAAAAAGTTACAGTATTAACATTACAAATAAATGTTTTATTATTATAAATTAAATATATAAATCCTTTAATGATTGATTACATAAATTTTACATCTTACACAGATATGTCTATTATAAAAATTATTTTAAAAGTATCCCTGATATACATTTCATGTTGAAATTTATGGAATTGCTCCATTATATTGTTATATTATAACTATTTTATTTCACTGTTCACATTGTCTTACTTCTATTCATGAGTTATTGCTATAATACTATTTATTTGAGAAGCTAACATATTTCATACTAGTGTCGTTTGGTCCAATTCAAGAATGACTTTTACTTCCAACTATTTAATTTGCCAACATTCAATTTCTTTAACATCTAAATCATATTATACAGCTGCGTGCAAAAGTATTAGATACCCCTATTGTTAGTCACTATCTCATTAGATAGCGGTCAAGTGTGTGTTTTATGGTTTAGCTATTGTATTAGCGGCAATTTTTAAACAAATTAAGATAAAAGAAAATATTTATGACATCCAGGTGTGCTCCTAAGCGGTGTTTCTTCGAATTTGCTTTTTTTGCGTTTCGGGTTATAGTGTGTTATCAGTGCTTGCAGTGAACATACACGTCTTCTACGCAACTATTCCTATACATACAGAGAGGTTATAAATTTTTTTTTCTTTTTATTTACATTGTAAATAAGTGAAGTGAAGATCGTTTATGGACATACATATATATATATATGTATATATGTATGTATGTATGTATGTCCTACCACTCATATTAGCCCCAGCCATAACTCCAGTGACCCCAGTAAACAGAACCCCAAAAACTGACGCGAAGTCAACGAACTCCCCATCAGCTGTGTAGTCCCGGGAGTAATTAGGATAGAGGTTCTCTCGTAATGTGACCGAACTCAGACCAGTGTAGGTAAAGTTGGTAGCATTCACTATAGTGTTTGATGCGGGCTTCTCTATCTGGAATGAAATATTGTATTTGTTAATATTAATAGAATAGGATAATTTGTTATATTTAATTGAAGTATTATAAGTTAATTGTTGTTATAATTTAAGTATGTAAGTAATGCTAATAAAACAAAATTACAAGAACTTCAAAGAAAACAAAATCTTCTATATATATAAAAATGGATTGTTGTTCCTTAGCCTCGCTAAAACTCGAGAACTGCCGAACCGATTTGGCTAATTTTAGTCTTGAAATACTCCTGGAAGCCCAGGAAAAGTTTAAAAGGTGAGAAAAATTTGAATATTTGCCGGGAAACTCCTAAAACAGCCCTTTTCTATTTCCCATACAAACGTTTTTTTTGACATTAGATTTGACAACTAACTAATATGTCAATCATTCTGTTTGATTGAAACAGGAAAAACCTGATTATTTACGGCCTGTAAGACGGAATAGAGTTCGCCTGGTCAGCTATACCTACATATATTATTCTTGATCAAACTAACGCGGACGAAGTCGCGGGGCAAAAACTAGTAAAATAATAAAAATACTCTTTAAATATCCGTTATCTACATCTATAGTAAAATTTTTTGAAGAAACGAAAATTAGGAATTTAAAACAACTTTATCTATATAATTCCTGCATTCTAATAAGAAAAATTATTAATAAATCTGTACACTCTAAATTGTCATTTATGAAACAAGTAGTACGCGTAGCACCCGTCGACCTAGCTTACTAGTTCTCCCAAAGACTAGGACAAAATTTGCAAAAAAGGATATTACATCTGAGGGACAACTTTACAGCAAATTACCGTCTACTATAAGAAATGCAAGCTCAATTTACGAATTTAAATCTCAACTTTCACAACATATTTTAGAAAATAATTGAATTACCAACGATGTAACACACTTGTAATAATATCTTACAATTTTTAATTGAGTTCCAAATAATCTGGCGACTACTTTTCTATTTTCACTTTTGTATGTATGTTGTCATGTACCTAAGTGACTATGTCATTTTGAGAATAAATTCTTTAAAGCCTAATATTAAGTCTAAAATGATTTTGATGAACTGAACTTTAGTGATACAGAAGCTTGTGATTTTAGTTCAATTCTAAATATATTTGACTGACTGACAGAAGTTTATTGATAAATACAGTGCAACCTTAATGTAATGTTACTCAATATAACGACTTCCTCGATTTACAAATTCTTCGTAGTCCCCTTGAATTTTCAATTAGCGACAATATAAAATATATCTTTACACTGCTATCATTTTTTGCGAAAAACCTCTTTATAACGAATTTTCAACTCTCTAGAATAATTATACATATCTTTAATTAACGGATTTCTTCAATCCAAAACCTTTATATAAAGTTTCCTCCAATATATAGCTATTATAGTATGTGATCATAGTTGTTTGATTGAAAGTAATGTAAACACTTGTGCTGACCACTATTGTTAATGATTTAAGTAAAAAACAAAAAAAAATACCTTTTTTTAACTAACTTCAAAACTACCTATTTTCAACAGAAAAATCAGTTCAAAGAATTACTTGGTATAACGAATATTTTCTTGTTCCCTCCCATTTTTTATACCGAGGTTGCACTGTATATCAAATCTAGATAACATACTTAATACATCAGCAGAATTATAATAAAATATTTACCTGTCCGGGTGCTGTGATAAAGAAGCTCAGGAAAGCGCTGAATAAACACACTATAGTCGTCAACCAGATGGCTAGACTTGTAGATGCGAATAATGATGCTCCGGCCAAAGAAACTCCTAGACCGACAGCATTCAACGCTGAGCGGTACAGAAAGTTATACCAGTAACCACTTGGCAGGCCGGGGCTAGAACCGATCAAGTACCCTGGAACACGAAGATATTGGAATTAGTTAGATTTAATTTGTATAAGAAGGCAAAAAATAAGGCTCATAGTTAAACAATGGGAATAATGAAATCTAAGACTTTCGCGAGTATATCTACATCTCGTCTACCCGTGATCACGGTTGTTGCAAAGAAATAAAACGTCGGAAGTATGCAGTTTAAAAAATAATAAAATACGCGAAATAATCAGAAAAATTAGAGTCCTTTAAATGGGAATAAGTTACACAAGATATGATAGACTTCGTACTACTGAAACAGCTGATAAGTGAATCTATGAAATATGAAAGAAAGAAGATGTCCAAAGGAAATAAGCTGTCCACATAAAAAAAGAAGCTGTCCAAAAGAAATAAGCTATTCACACAAAAGAAAGAAGCTGTCCAAAATAACATACCACCATCGTCCCCAAAATTCTCCACCATAGCTTCAGCGCAGGCTGATATACAGAGAGCACTTGATACAACGTTGGCGAAAAAGAACAGGGTCCCTATAGCACCACCAAATTCTGGACCGAGGGTTCTGCTTATCATAACTGGTACATGGTCAGGGAAATAATGGTTATAACACACCCTAATATATACAATCAAAGAGTTACACACATTTACAAACAATTTGTTGTGATATAAGCTATAGGCAGACCCTGGCTGGGAAATTGCCAGGAAGAATAAGCTATAGACTAACCCATCAGCGAGTTTTTTTGACTTTATTCACTAGAAATCTTACTTTAGTTTTGAAGGTAATAAGAAAATTGTGGATATGAAAATGTACATACATATGTTTATAGTTGAAACTTGTTTCAGTACAGTTATTTAATATGATTAAGTATTTTTTTTTTTCATATATTATATTTAATTTTAATGTTTCCATACTCTAATATTTAGTTTCAGTGAATGTGTTATAATAGTAAAATAACTGGAGCCTCTTATTTTAATTTAATTCATTCTTACATATCTGATCTTTGCGTAAAAAAATATTCTTTGTTTATATAGCTAAAGTATATTTTAATGTCATCAAATATATACATAGGCCGATTTTGTTCGAATTCACAAAAAAATATATTAACGTTATTGTCGTTAAGATAAATTAATTATTAATTTGCAAAGTTTCTTCAATCAATCTTTTAAAAAATTACTGTATTTATTTTTAAATTCCTACCCCTACTAAAACTATAAGTAACGTCTTCTAATACAGTTCATAATTATGAGTGAACATAACTCTCTTTTCTTGTAGTCGGTAATATGAAGCCTTGTAAAGGATACAGTATACGCCTCCGCCCTCGACAGCCCCATTCGTGGAAATGGCGCAGATAGATGTAACTGTGAAGCCGACTATTAAATACGCCATACCGAATTGCGCCAGAGTCACTAACAGACCAGCGTTACCGATGAGATATCCTGGAATTAAAACATTCTACTTGAATAACTCATTAAAAAAATACAAATAAACTCAAAAATAAATAAATATACAATAACCAAACTCGTTATTTATGTATGGTGACTAATTAATTAATTCAAAGAAAATAAATTTCTACACATATTGCCAAAAAAACTGTGTTTCTAAAATAAAATGAGCGTTAAATTCGTCGTAGTTAATAACAAATTATTATAATTAAAAGCAATAATAAGAACAAAATATATCTTACATTGTAAAGCAAAGTACTCTATTTGGTAAACACACGAGATAAATACAGGTAGATATAACAAAATTTTATTTAATTGAATATTGTGATGATAAAACTCACCCATTCTTATGAAGACAAGGGCGCTGAACATTGATAGTACAACAGGACAGAACACTCCAGCGAAGGTGCCCACCTTCTTAACGCCACTCTGTTCTGATCTGAACTCACCGAACTCGACATATCCTGAAAATTATAACTTACTTTTTAGGTACAGCTATAAATTTTTTTATGCAATAGGTATTCGCTTTTATACGAAATAGGTACGTGAAGTTAGTTACAGTTATATAAAACTGTGGTTTTAGGTTATTTCACGAGTTTTATATTATTTAAAACTACATATTATGGGTGATCATGGGTAGAAGTGAACTTTCATGGGATTATGCAGATGTAAAATAATATAAACTATACGAAAACCTTACTTTTATTAAAATGAATACGCGCGAAAATCTTAGATATCATTAGGTACCACGGTTTAATTTATAAAATCTTTTATTATGTAGACTTTACTATTTGACTTCGACGTAGAAAATTAAAGATACATATTTTAGAAGTCTATGAAGTCAAGGAATATATTTTTAAATCACTGAAAAAGCTTTGTATACAAATAATTAATTTGCCGCCAAAATTTACGGCTGTTGTGATCTCTTTTGACATACTCTTTTACAATTCATATTAGGAAAAAAAAAACAACACGGAAAAAACAATGTTATTTAAATAAATTTTTCATTACACCTTTCTATAATCTATAACAATCTTGAAACGATAAACAATTACCAGACATTGCACTAGAAACACACTTGAACATAGTTATTTGAATTCAAACGCAAACGATGTTTGTAATTTATTGAAAATGTTAAACATTCAATACATTTCCTCCGTCATCCGTTTTAATACCGAACAAATAAACGAACACCGTATGAATCGAATCCATGAATCATGTAATCACAATATAAAGTACTTAACAATGTTTAATGTTTGGTTTTCTGTTTTATTTAGGCTAATTCAAAATTGTGGGCGTTACAGTTACGTCAAACATACTGTTATATTTGACAATCCCCACCCAAACATAGACGCAAAAGCATAAATTTTATACGTATTATAATAAAAATAAATTATCACCAGTTAATTTGTCGCTCATTTCGCGTGTTAATAGATCAATATTTGTTATCAAACTGGACGGTGCTGGCCGCTGGGTTATAGATTGACCTGAATGCATTTCACATGACCTTGGAGAGCGTTTCTACAATGGCATGACACAAAAATTTAGCATACTTTAAACAAGTGCTTTGAATTAATTAATCACAGATATTGAATAGATATTTAACCTCAATTATTATTGTATATAACTCTTATATTCACTTGAAAAGAGAGGGATGTTATAAGTATTCCTAAATATCTATCTGTTTTTAGCATCGCAACTCTAGAAGGGCCAACCGATTTCGATGCAGTGTTTTTACTAGATAGACATTTTCTTTGACGTGTTTAATAAAGGTCAAGCAGTGTAAGAGTATCAATTGTTCTCCAAAATTATGGAAATGATTTCTCTATTAAGTCTTAAATGTGGTAGTATAATCATCAAATGACAATTAAAGCATAGAGTGACTTTTAAATTAAACAAAATGACTTTATTACTCCTACATAAATATTTCTAGATAGATTCTAGTTAGATAGATAGATATTTGGATATAACTCAGACAATAAGTCATATAATGATCATTAATCTTTATGAGGACTATATGATAACATTTAAACTGTAACACACTATGAAGTGATGTACCTAACCATGACTATATGACTTATACAATTATTATCTTCTTACTCCAAGCTGGTGAGCATGAAATTTTAAATAATAGCTAAAATGTCACATATTGTATGCATATTATACACTCAATTAAATAATTGCTACATATACAACAAATGTTGTGAAGTAATATCACAAATTGGACTTAAATTCACAGTACCGTTATCACGAGTTTGGAATGTACTATATACAGGGTGACTGGTGAATTACTATCGATATTTGAGGACGTGATATTTGACGATCTTATATGACAAAATAAAAATTAATATAACATAAATATTAATAAACTTCTAAGTAAAGTTAACCAAAAGTTATGTAATTATTTACGCATCGTATGAACACCCTACAGATTAGGTATACGCACACACACACACACTCGCGCGCGGCGGCGTGTTGTTGTATCAGCACGCCGCCGCACGCGTCCACACTTGGAACACTTGGAACGTGTACACACTTTATTTATTTATACGGAAATTTGGTCAAAAATTAAGTACCTATTTTTTTTACATAATTCGAATGAGAATCATGTACCGAGTATGCTCCTTAAATATTGATAGTAATTCACCAGTCACCCTGTATAGTGGTTGATGTTTCACTTTCAATGAAAAACTGTTACTGAATGTGGTTTGACATTGTAACTTGGACTAAGTTTATACATAACTACATATAATTATAGCCATTTATATTACTATTACTTACAAATAGGAGTTAATAAATAAATCTTTATTACAAAAATAAAGGAAACTTATTACGGTTGTAAAATACACCAATATACAACATTAAATTAATGTGTTTATTTTAAAACAAGTTTCATAAGAGAATAATTTAATTAAATATCAATAATTTATGTAATTACCATCTCCATTAGCCCCTGTCGGTGTCCTGCCGAGCCTCTGTCTCAATATATTCATTAAGCCTGGCGAGGAGTCATTTGTACTCGGTGATAATGGGTCCAGCGTATCCGCCATTATAGATGGCTTTGTCCCTAGACACACAAAGATTAAATATGTTTGTATTAAAGTAAAATTAAAAGAGATTATATATATTTCTACAATTATGTAATATTGAAAAAATAGCAAGTCGTCAAAATAACATTCACTCATAGGGAAGTACAAATAGATAGTAATAAAATATTACTAATTAAGTGACAAGACATCTAATTAAATAGTTTTAATATACCAAAACACACATTAGTATTTTTTAATAGCTTTTTTCATAATAAAAACTGTATGCAGATTTGCAAAATAAATTTGGAGCACACTTATCACGTGTTGTACTATTTTAACTTAAACATTAGTTACTTTATATGGTAAAAATAATTATGGTTTCTTTTTGAACTTAGTTTGTATTTGGGATGCTAGATATTATTGAATAGGATTTAAATTTCATTCAGTTTCAGAATAATTCTAATATTATAATATATTTCTTTATATGCTTGAAGAAATCTGAATGACTTAATGTTTTTACATAAGCTCATTCACAACTCAGTAGATTCTTCAAAGCTACTTTCTCAAATAAATTTATATGTTCCGAAAACCATTCCTAGATATCCAATTAAAAGCACCTTCGCCATTCCTAGATTTCGCACAAATGTTAGAAAATTTTCACCTTTAATTCGTTGCATGAGGACCTACAATCAAATTGATTCCCATGTCGTCGACATATACAGCCAAAGTAATAATAGTTTTAAAAAAATAATAAATACTGTTTTTGTTGATAATTGATATTTATATGTTTGTTAGCTTATTTTGTTTGTTTTAGTTAGTAATTGATATTTTATCTTAGTTTTATTTTTTATTGATAGGTTATTTTATTGTAATATTCTTTAAATGTCTTGTGTAGTTTTTACCTTACCCTTAGTTCTTTTGTTATAATGTAAGCAATAATGTAAATACCTGTAATGGTGTATCACACCGAACAAGTTTATTTTATTTTATATTTTTTTTTCAACATATAGTTTGTGAATATGCCGATGGTATTTCAGAAATAAATAAATAAATAAATAAATGAGATATTAAGCACTTTACCAGGGTTCCTTATTTTTCAAACATCACATAAGCATGCAATACACACATCACTCTAAGTAATTAATATAAAAATGTATATCTGCTAAGCATATTGTTAATAAAACACTTTTCTATACATTTGTCAATTATGACAAATGTTATCAAACTATATTATGATTCATACAAAACATGACAAAGATAAAATAATAATGAATAAATATGAGAATTAATACCTAAAATAGGGATGAAAAGATTATAATGGTATTTAAAAGCTATAAATATTTATTCCATCCGAAAACTGAGAATTTTTTTAGGTAGAAGATAAGTTCTTTAACTACAGACAGATCACATAAATCGAAAAAAATCTGTATAGGTTTTATAACTCACTTAGATGTATATCCTCCATTTTACCATAACTTTAACACAGCGATCCCACACACAAGGCAGTTTTTAACTAACTTATGTATCGGTTCAAGCATAGTCTAAGCCAATTATATTACAACGTCAAACGTTTTCAACAACGATGCACGATCTAGATGTTGTAGTACTTCCTTTTTGATGATTTTAGTATCTCATATTTTTAAAATTGCAATAATTATCATAACCAGTTCATATAAAACAAAAACAAAGACGTGAACATTTTACCAATTGCCAAATTCAAATAGTCACTTGTACATCCTCTGATGAATCAGACACTAGTAAGTAATAAATATAAGGATCGAAACTTACTTTTGTCTCACTATGATTATTTTCTTTCAGTCTCTTATGAATGTTATAACGGTTTTAGAGATTTTCGTACATGTTGGTATTCCCCAAATATATATTAGAAATTCGTGAAATCTAAACAATCACAAATTTATCATCATTTGACAGTTGACGGATTCGTTCAAAAACAGAGAAATGTTCCTCATTTCCTAACTAATAATAATTTTTAAATCAGTAAGTTTGTAAAGTATATTTAAAAAAAATTAATAAAGTAAGTAGATTAATTAAGCGTTATAAATAAAAATCAATTGAAACTGTTGTTTTAATGGGAGGTTTGGGAAATTAAAATCACTGCTTAGTCCTTATTCTATATTTTAAAAGATTTAAGATTAACTTAAATATTACATTTTGTATTTTACACGGTCTTTAATAGAGGAATATTTTCCAAATTAGCATTTTTTTAAAGATTTGAATATGAAAATTAGGAAATGTAATTTAAATGTTATGTCCTCTCCAACAGAGTACATAATTACTTAGCCAACAAACATTCGTTTTTTCTTTTAGTAAAAGACTATACACAAAATTTTTGCATGCTAGGTTTTTTACAAAAATAAAAATTCTGTCTAACACAGTTCCTTAATTGTAAAACTTATTTATTTAGTTATTAATTATAATCCTATATTCTATCTAAAGACTCCAGCATAATGATACTGTTTCCACGGATTACCTGGAAATAAAAGAATTTTTATGTTAATTAAACAATTACCTTGATGAAAGAATTATTCATTATATTACATTAACATGTTAAGTCAATATCAATGGGAACCCATGTGTCTATAACTATAAACATAAACCATTAAATAAATTTACTATATATTTATTAAAGTAAAACTTCTTATGCAACAACCAATAAGGTTGTGTTAAACATTTAACACTCTTTGGGAGGGGATGGAGACAAAGAGAAAGATTATGTGAAATTTGAAACCATAAGGGGAAATAAATTGTGACTTGTAAGGTATGTTAATAAAGTTTGTCTTGAAGAAGCTCTAAAAATTCCTTAAAAATCAATTTCTACCCCTTCCTGTTTTAATTCTACTATTACGAAGTTTCACTTTTCCATACAGAGGGATTAAATGTATGATGATTCTTTTTGCACATTTTTATTTTTTTACATATAACTCTTTTAGATATTTAATATGTTAAGATATAAGTAATAATATATTTTAAGTGTGTTAACATAATATACATAATTTATAGTGTCCGACCCAAGCTTCGGCTTCGGCCACCTTCGGCCAAAAAAACCCTCTCCGTGCAACCTTTGGGATTGAACGAACTATTACGAAAGACTGAGAGACAGGGCGACGGACAAATATGCTTAGTAAAATAGAATATTAAAACAGTCATTACTTGATTAATAATCAATTACTTTTAATAATCAAGTAATGACTATATCTATAATCTATATATATACTATAATCAATGATTATTTATAACTTGTTATTGTTACATTTTTCTGAATTTTCTAATATTTTCTAAACTAAGCATTTAATTGACCAACATTTAATTATTTATTAAGAAATTGGTGTTTGTTCATTTTATTTATTAGTCTAGTTTCGGCTTAGTCAAGTAAACATGACTGTTTGATTGGTCTGATTGTGATTTATGAATTACTTAATAAATAAATGATAACTTTTTACAAATAAATCACATTTTTGTTTTTATCATCTTTGAATCCACTTCCATATGAGACAGTCAATATAAACCTTAAATATTGAAGTTTTGAAATAATCTATAACATTAATAGTAGCTTGTAGACAATATTGAACGAAATTACTAAGAGCTTATAAACCTTCGGCTTCGTCTTCGGCCGAAAATGGACCTCCGGTCGGACACTAATAAATTATGCATTTATTTTAAACTAAGACATAAACATATAATCTTTCAGTTGTTATATCTACCGATTAATTTTAAAAATTAAATAGAAACTCTTAGCTCGTCTCTTAGGAAATAAGGAGTTTAAAGTAAAAAAGTGTTATATATTTTATGAATGTGAAACTAAAATTTATATACCTTATAAAATACAAAATGTGATTATCATTATATAAATAGGAAACTGGTTCAAATCAAAATCTTTAATATTTATGAAGAATTACTCATATTAAATATTGTAAGAATTAAATATGTGATAAATTATAAATTAAATACAAATGCTAAATTATAAAAATGAAAATCATTGCTTGTACAAGCAAGAGCGTTTTTACACAATAAACTTTACTTACAACCATCCCTATATTATTTCTCTGTCCGTCTTTACATTCCTCAACTGATTCATCGAGTACCAAGTTCATGAAAGGATCAAATCCTCTAAGAACGCCCGTCACAGCACGACCAGCGTTTAGTTTGATGGACAGCTTCTTGTCCATGAACCTATAATGGAAAAATTACGTTGAAATAATAGGTTATGAAGCGAGCCGGACATTATTCGACTCATATCTCTGTATATAAGTAAGTAACTTACTTCTTCAACTCTGGAGGATGTGCCTTAGACATGATTATTCGCTAATTAACTATTAGTTTTTAATGTGTAAGAAAATTTGTAATATACAAAGTCAAGCGAGTTAAAGCGTCTCGAAAACAAGCTTATGTCGTATGTTTAAAGTCTAGTTGAAATAGCAATAGTAACCACAGGTTAAAAATCAACTGTTGTCAATACCTGCGAAACGGCAGATAAGATTATAGGTGTTTTAAGTATATTTAAAATATTAATTATTAAAACTCGGTTATAAAATGAGTTCATGAAAATAATATAAATTTTTTTAATACACAAAATTCTTTTAGATAGTAATTTATTCAAAAGTCACATGACTTTTTATTTAAAATAAGAAATCTATCTGTCTTCTAAAAACATCACAATTGATAACAAATAATTTGCGTACTAATTCTGTCAATTGTATCAGTATTGTAACATTAAATTGATCTCATTACTTTATTCTCATGTCATGTGATTTATATAAATTAACATTTTTCTTGCTATAAGTTGCCATATAAAATAAAAATAACGTGTCTATATGATACGGTGAATAATAAAAGTATAGTTCGATGTTAGGTTTTCAGGAAATATATAACCTATTGAAACATGCTGTATAATATATTATCATACCAATACGTACAAAATAGTCAAAGTCAACAATAGCAACAAGTAGACAGCTGGGAGAATGGATGCTGTAAAGATATTCATCCTATTCTTACATAAATAAAAACATTTTGTTACATTAAATATGTAAATTGATTAAATCATATATATAATAAGTGAAATAGTTTGTGTTAGTGAAAAGTTTAAAAATGGATGAATCCGGTATTGATATGGGCTACGATCTAGCATCGCTCATTTCGAACGATTTTAATATTGACCAGAAGATATTGGACGAGATGAATGCTTCACAGCATCACCAGGATTTCTTGTTCTACGAGTTGAAGTCTAAAGCAGTGCCTGTTACTGAAAGGTAAGCAATTTTTTTAAGTTCATCAATGTCTGGAAAGTTTCAAACTTGTCGCGAATATTTTTAGCTCATTGTTTTCATAAGTACGAGGAACCATTTCTCTAAAGCCAGATCGCCCGCGGCCCTGAATTATATTTGGCAGAGTCCCCAGTTTGGCTACGTTTATGTCCATTCTGCGAAATTTACTTTTGAACATTCTTTATGAGCGTTTAAATCATAAATTTGATTTTTTTCCTATTGGAAATGTTTTAACATATCGATTGATTTGATCTTCGAAGACCTTATTTAGAAATTTTGTTGAGTTAGTAGTATTTAAGTGTTTTATATATTTTTAAACTTCTTCCCGCCTATTTAGAAATACTCATCTGTTATGGACGTAGTGTACATAGAGAAGGGAGGTGTTCGTTTAGATTTGATTATGAGGTCTAACTTTCAATTTTGACCCCCATTTAAAGTTAAGTTATTCACGGATCTAGAATTCGGCGCGCAACCTGTTTAGTCCACAGATAAGAAATAAACATCTTTATTATATTATATTGAACCTCAACCTCCTTGCTGATATGAGAACATATATGTATCTCTTGTTATTATTGATGGGTGTAAGTTGTTTGGGGTAACGGTTGATTTTTATATAAGTTGTTAATCAATTTGTTCCACTTGACGTTGTGTTGGAGACATCACGTGAGTCGGGTCGCGACTCTCACACGGCAACCCCACCACGCGAATTGACCTCTAAGGAGCTCCGATGGTTGACAAAAAATATTTTATTTGAATTAACATAAATAAATATCGCGCTTAGTGTTACCGTTGAATATAACTGTTAGCTTATGATTATCAAGATGTTATAATATTAGTAAATAGAAAATGGTCGTTCTTATTATGTATTTATACATCATGTAATTATTTTTACTGAGTGAAATTTTTGCAATGTTTGTGCGAGCACGATCCATCAAAGTGATATTTTATTTATCTGCACAGCGCTATCTTATAACATTAAATATTTGATAATAATGTATATTTAACACTAACGATTTCTTTGACTCATTCAATATAGTTTAATCCTAGGAATATAATTTTCTTTAAAGTATCTGTTTGTTGTATTTTAATAGATTTCGGTGTAATTTCCGAAATAGGTTTTCGTACTTTTAGTAAATCGTCGCTAAATAAAAAATAAATAGGGTTTTTCTTATATGGTAACAAGCAATATTGAACCGTTAATGTAAATGTTGGGAAATACCGATATTTTATATATGAATAAATAATTATATGGATTTAGAGTTTATTTTAATAATATTGTATCGAAGTAAATTTTCCCAACTATATAAATGTTAAGGCACGTGAAGATAGGTGTATGAAAATTTAGTACGATTATGTTCATATGTCGTCAAAGATAAATTCAAATCTATGAAGTAAATTCCTCAGTAAAATAAGAATTTTGACGTCATTAGTAATTTAGCTGGAAATGCAACATCCAAAATACTTGAGATAATCTATTAGTTCGCGTATTTGATTTTATAAGACGCAACACGTAACGCAACAGAATCCATGGGATATACTTATCCCATGGATTCTGTTAATAATTCTGATCTGGACCTTCACATATATACATATTATATTCCCTTGACTCTGGACTATGTGGTTTAAATAAGGTTTTAAATGAAGTCGTGAATGTGGTCTATTCTGTCAGTATTCTGGTTATATGTGGTAATATAGCAGGTTTTCATTCAACCGTGGGTTGCTTCAAACATTGGGATGGACGTTAATAGAAGCTAGTTCTTTTTTAATACATGTTGGTTAAGCCAAGCCATTACAGCTGGTTTGACAAGACACGGGATCCTTCCTCATAAAGAAAATTACCTAGAGAATTCAGAATTTCAGTTTTCAGAATTCTTTGGTTCTTTTATGTGGGTATACCCCAGGATCCATCGCTAGAACCTCGTCTGTCAATATTGAGGATGCACCACAAGCAAGTGCATTTGTCGGTAAAAGATCAATGATGTTAGTGCATTCAAATTACATCTCCTTCAAAAAGGAATCCATTTAAATTTTTGCTTGAAAAAAGATAAAAAGTCCAGCGTTAAAAATTTTATGTTCATTCTTTCTCGGATATACGTATATGGGAATAGGGTTGTGTATACACAATTTTAGTATACCTACTGCAAAATATATATATACAGTAATTACTTTATTTTCGTACAATTTATATAACTACGTCTTTAACCACTAAAGTTTGCAATGATGGTTATGTTTGTATGACCCATTATATTAATTTGGTGTAATAAAAATGACAGAGACGTTATATTTTGTATGACTTTTTGTACTTTTGTATGAAATGACATATTTAAGATCTTTGGTACGAAGAGACTTCTTACATTGTATCGTAAAATAGAAGCCAATTTAAATTGTCACAATCGGCCTACAATGGAACTCACAATGATCTTGAACTATGTTCATATAATTATATTGTAACATAGTGATATAAATGTATGGAGAAATTTGAATAAAACACTTACTGGAAAATAGATTTGAAAATATATATAAGTATAACTTTTACCTGCAGCTTTATCCGAGTGGATTTTGCAAAAAGATTTGAATCTATCCTCTCATAAAGTGGCATATAAAAACAATAATCGTTATAAACAAATAAAATATTTTAAAAAGGTATAAAATCACAAAGTAACATTGTTTATAAGATTACACTCTATTTAATTCATAGAAGTATATTTAAAATTTCTACACATACACCTTAGCTTACTAATTGGAAAGTTATTGGAAATTATAAAATTTTAATTGTTTTCCTATAAAGCCATTTTTATTTTGTAATCTAGAAACATTACGTAATAAATTTTAATTCAGTTTATTAGAACAGACGTGAAGCTTTAAATGACAGAGTAACTTTCCCATTTATTCAATAGCGTTAAATCCACGCGTGTTCATAGACGGAGCAGCGTGAAGGAGGTAGTCATATATATATATATTTATATATATAGTAATTTCATTACATAATGATAAACAAAGAAACATCAGTTCAGTATGTTGTAGCAGACAGAACCCACCTGCGGCCAGAAATAATACTCATATGAATTTCGTTGCCAGAAATGTTAGGCTCCAGACTAGCGCCACTATGTTATAATTACAATATTCAATGTATAATATTATTGTTGTATCTAACATACTATTTCTGATCCATGGTTTTGTTTGTAGTTATACTAAATTTATATCAAAGTCCTTTATTATGTTTTTCTTATTGTTCACTAGCTTTCCACCCGTGTGGAGTTCGGTTATATCGCGTTTCCAAGAGAACACTTCAAAAGTCTGGGATAAAAACTATCCTATGTTCTTTCTCAAGGTCAACTCTATGTCTGTACCAAATTTCATTAAAGTCAGTTCAGTGGTTTAGGCGTGAAAGCGTAACAGACAGACAGAGTTACGTTCGCATTTATAATATTAGCAGGGATTATATTTTTCATCATATAATTTTCAGTAATTTCTCAAACTGATATATATTAGTAATTTACCTTACCTTATACCTGTCTTGCTTATAAAGCTAATATGTTTTTGAAAAATTGTTTTCTTATAGTTTATTAGTAATGTAGGAAGTGTATTTTATTAGCAATTCGAAGAAAATTTTATTCTCTCATTTGAAACAGAATTACGTATTAGAATAAAATTAACACTTTTATAGGAATAGAAATCTAGAAATAGATAGTTGTATGGTAATTGAGAATAACTACATTCCCGAATTAATGGATAATTCTCTATACTCTACAATATCTATCAGATATAGGTACATGAGATAAGGTACTTCTCTCTCTCTCTCTCTTTCTCTTTCTCTCTTCTTCAAAAGTCCGTGCTGTATATAAACACTATTAATTAATATTTTAATATCATATATATAGTATTCATCTTCGTTGCAATAGCTTTTATCGCTAGTATTCCGTTGATACGAATTTTTATTGTAAAATTTAAATCAGATTTATTGAGTATATTTGTTCTCTTTGACTATTATAGATATAAGTAATACATGCCAAATAATAAATTAATAGTTCT